AGCCCTAAGTGTATGTCGTTTTGGGAAACATGTTTGCTTTGTTTGTCTGATTCGCGTTCCAACGCGAACTATTCCATATCTTGACCAGGTACGGAGGATATGGCTGGAGATAGGACTCTTCCTCGACTTGGATATGTGGTCCAAGGTCTTTAATAGACAGAGACATCTCAGAATTAAATGATGGCACACTCTGACTTACAGCAACTCTGGAATACCTCATGGACACTGCACCGTCTTTCTCCCCTACACCATGGGAAAGAATTCCAGTCCCTTCTTGGCAATCAGGCTGGCCTGAGAACTTATGCTAGCAGATTGAGGGCTCATCTTGCAGGTGACCCATTTACTAGTGCTCAGGCTTCACTTAGCGGAGCCGGCACTGTCGATGATGATGTTCTTTCCAGAACCGGACCTCTCAGAGACTGTGTCTGGGAAACGTTATCGGCTCCCTCGACAGAGGCTACGGAGAAATTTTCTGGGATACTGGTCACTCTAGAGTATGAAAACATCACCTACAAAGCTGCTCTTCTCGCAGCACCAGATGGCCGTCGCACGTCGGCGAGGCGGAAACAGTCCACTCAGCTCCCGCTACTACTGACGCGGTTCCCAAATCCCCTGCGGCAGACCTTCATCTCTTTCTTGTCTGCTAATTTTGACACTTACTGCTCTGTTCTTCGCTTACCCTCGACTTTCATGTGTACGGCCCTAGATATGTACATTGATATCCTGATGGCGGGAGACCATGACGGGCCTTCCGGCTCTCATCGGATGTTTGACGATACCGTCAAGGAGACGCAGCTTACCTTGTCCTTTTCGCCGCCCGTTGCACCGGCTCTGAGATCTCTCAACGTCAATATTCCGCGTGGCTCCTTCACGGACTTTGTGCGCAGAAGTAATTTAGACAGCGAGTTGACTCACCGGAAGACTTCTGTCTTCCCAGGCCTGTCCGCCTACCTAGAGAAGCACTTAGCCATGAAGCTGAATCTGGGAGATCTGGCGAGCGGCCATCATTCGGTCAATCAACCCGTGCGTCTGACTAAAATTGCATGTGGCAGCTTCGTTCTCGGCGGCGAAGGTAAAATGAAGCTGGTCGCGCCGTCGGGACAAGCTGGCTCCAGCTCTGAAGATGGTGCTGCAGCAGCTCGTGAGGGCAGAGATCATCTGCTATTGCGGGCGAATGAGGAACTGCTTCAAGCTGTTATACGTCGAGCTGCTATGAGCGGCGATGAGCAGACATGAGCGTGATGACTTGTTCCGAGCGGCTTTACTTGCTCGAGCCTTACCACGCCTTCACTTTCATTTTTGAGGTGATCCTTCCGATACTGTTTCTGGAAACCATATTCTACGCCAGGCAGCAGTTGATGAGCCGTTTTCTGAGCTGGCCTATCGCGGTATTGACGATCTGCATACGTACCGTGTCCACCTGGGCTGAATCGCCTCCTTGAATGTCGCCAAACTTTTCTGTACAAGAACGTTACCCAGATGCCTGGCCTGACGCAGATGGAATGCAGTACGCAATCCTCTCTGGTACAGAAAAATGGCGGGAAATAAGAGATCACGTTCTCCGCGCACTGAATCATCTCGTTCAAAGAAGTGCTTGCTCGTCTATGTATTCACAACTATGGAAATCCGCAACCCTATCGACGACAAAATCTTGCGCTGACTCCATGCTTTCAAAGAATCTATAAATACAGCTGGCTGTTTGGCAATATATACAGAGTCGTCAATCGTTAAAATATATCGTGAATGTCATATAGAGACAGCTTGTTTGGCCGTGTGACTCGTTGCTCTATCCTGAACCACTTCAGCTTTCGACCGTCTGCTCTGCCGATTCGGCAAGTTTGATCGCTTCATCCACACTGGTAACGAAATGCCTCATTCCTCCACATTGCTCCACAATACCGCTTCGTTCGAACATTCGGAAGACGTCACGATTGGGGAGACGGCAGAAGAACACTCGCGTCCCCTGGTCCGCATATCCTTTCACGATCTCGAAAAGAACCTGAGTTCCAGATCCGTCGATGCTAGTGACACCATGGACATCGAAGATTATATTCTTATTGTTCTCCGGAGACCGCATCCGAGGGAAGGATGGATGCACTCTGCTCGAGCCATATAGTTCTAAACGGCGCAGGCGATTCTTAAGGTCGCCAGTATTGGCAAAAGTGAGAGGCTCTGGAATTTTGACGATAAGGGCACCCTCGATCAATTGGACATCCTCGGGATGGAGCTCGGCATTGTCGAACCGACCCGTATCCGGTATCTTTCCGAGAATCTGAATGCGCGACTGAGTAGAGTGCCGAATCAATATCAGGACAGAAAGCCCGATGCCAAGCGCAATGCCCAACTCGAGTGAATAAAAAATCGTTGAGGAGAAGATGAGAAGCATCAAGGCCAATTCAGTCCAACCGCGTAGACGAATGAAGAACGCCAAATCATGAGGACATTCCTCAATCAATGAAAAGGCGACAACAGAGATCATCGCTGAAAGGACCGCTTTCTAAATGACATCAGCTTCTATAAAATATCACAAATGGCAGCAATCTATAACAGGGGAACTCACTGGAAGATAATATAAATAAGGAAGAAGCACTAGAATGCAGACAAGAGTAATGATACTCAGGAAGATACTGCTCATGGGGCTTCGAGCTCCACTGGAAGCATTGACCTTACTTCTTCCGTACCCACCAAACGCAGGTAGGGCCATGAAGCACCCCCCAACGACATTGGCTACGCCGAGAGCCACCATCTCCCTGTTGGGACTAACCGTCATACCCTTAACGCCGTCTTCTCTGCTCTCACCGAGTCCTTTCGCGGCTACAGAGGACTCAAAGAAGCCAAGAAGCGCGATAATGAAAGAGGTACTCATTGCGGTGCGCACATGCTTCATGTGACTGAACTGGAAAGGCCATTTGAACGCAAAGACGCCATTTCCAGTATCTTTCATGGGGCCCAGGATTTCGAGCCCTTTCTCATCCCAATTCAGACGCCACGTCAAAATCGCCGCAAGAATGACTACCAAGATGCGATCTGGAAAGTAAACGACCTGAGGATAGCGCGGTTGTAGTTTCCTTTTCAACGTTCTGAATAGCGCACCAAGTTAGAGTACGCAGCGTCCAGGAAGGGTTCAGTACATACCGGAAGACCATTATAATGGCGAAGCTGCTGAAAGACATTGCAGCCGTGAGGCCATGGCAGTTCCTGACGTTTCGGAAGAAAAACAGTAGCTTCTCCACAGTACTGCCGTGACTGACCCCAGCGTCTTTCGCCCGCTCTGCCAATCCAGCCTCCGGAATCAATTGATCCACAAAAATAACAAAGCCAATGGCGGTGATGAACCCTCTCAAGAAAGGGCGACTGAGGACGTTATCCAAGAATCCCAGACGAGTCAGTCCAGCAATCAGGATCATCGAGCCGGCCATGGCGGTCGCTATTCCCACCACCATAGCATTTTCAGCAGCGTTATCCTCATGAGACTGTCCCTGTCGGACACTGGTTTTGACAATTGTACCGGTGAGCAATGACCCAGCTGCTTCTGGGCCAACGACCAGCAAAGGGCTGCTTCCCAAGACCGCATAGACGAAGGGATTGATCACGAAAGAATAGAGACCATTGATAGGCGGCGCATGCGCGAGGTTCGAGGACAAGGAGAGTGCCATTGGGATATAGATTGATGCAACAGTCAATGCAGAGATGAGGTCCCCTCGGAAGAAGGACCATCGGTATTGGCCAATCCAGTTAAAGAAAGGAATGTAATACGAGAGGTAGCTAAGTTAGCTGAATGTTAGCCATGACAAACAGACTCTTCAATATGGAATGTCTTCCGAAGACAAAGCTCTTCTTTAAGGTATCAAAACATACAGTGCGTTGCGATTCTTCACAGGCAATGCGGACGTCGATGACTCCAACGAGGGTAGGTTGTCCGGTCCATGTACACCAATCGAGTTCCCACTGGAACCACCAGAAAGGTCTGACCGTCCGGCGTTCCATCGCAAGACGCCATGTTGTTGCTCTGGTCTCGGGGAGAAAGTGCCATGGCGACAATACTTCTGTCCGCACACAGCTTCCCCGTCATGGTATGATTCCAGCAGACGAGTTCTGGCGTCAGGTCCTTCCGTCGTATATGTCGGTAAGTTGCGTGGATTGGTCTCAGTGATAGCTGCGAAACTGTTTGGGGAAGAAGTCCGAAAGATATCAAATATTCGGTCCCGCACCGAGCGGTGTTGACCCGTCCCGTGGAGGGAAGTGGACTCCGACATGGCTTATACAAATACAAGTTCAATAATCGGGGACATAAACAGTCATTCACAAACCGCCATGATCTGGTAATATGAGAGAGAGATAGGGAAAGGAACCAGGAATCTAGTAAAATAGAGGGGAAAAGGCTGGACCGTGAAATATTAGCTAAATAATTCAACGAGATCCAACGAAAGTGGTGCTCCTGATGCGAAGGGCGGTGGCCAATGCCTGGAAGCGGGCCGGCCAAGTAAGCCAAGGGATGGGGGAGGGAAGGTCAAGGCAGTACGAAAGGCGATGAACATTCATCAGAGCCGGCTTAACAGAGTCGTCACCGCTGACAATTGATGTACAGTGACACGGCAGAGGAATCTTGTGTGGCCTGAGTCTATCAGTCTTGCCTTGGTCAGAGACGCTAACAATGAGGCTGGACCGATAAACTCGATAAGCCGGTTTTTCTTTTCTGCCGGGCGGTACGTTAATATTTTGTACCACGTGATGTAACTGCACTGCTGGCACTTATGTTTGTCCGGAATTCGATGCGGGCTCCAACAATGCCCAAAAGTGGGTTTTGAACCGCCACAAAGTGATTTGAGATTGTCGAAGAACTCGCCTGCCGCCGCACCTCCTCTTCCCCCTACACCTGTCGCGCACCTTCGAGCTTCTAATAGGAGCTATCAGAGAAAAAGTTTCTCGCGCTTCTTATTTACCTTCAAGCCTCATATCCCTGTTGAATCCGGCCTAATATCAGGCGCAGCCCCGCCAAAATGTCGTTAACAAATTCCCGTTTCTACGAGGAGAAGTATCCGGAGGTTGACAGCTATGTCATGGTCAATGTCAAGCAGGTATGCGACCGTTTTTATGGCCATTGTCGTTCTCTTTGCAAGAATCTCGGGCTAATCCCTCTGTTTCCATTTTGCAGATCGCCGAAATGGGCGCATACGTGAAGCTCCTCGAATATGACAACATTGATGGCATGATCCTGCTGTCTGAACTGTCGCGGAGACGTATTCGTAGTATCCAGAAGCTCATTCGCATTGGCCGCAACGAGGTCGTCATCGTGCTTCGTGTTGACAAGGAGAAGGGCAAGTGTGGCCAATTCTGAAACGTGCTCGAGACCCTCCGTCTAATAGGTTTCGTTTGTATGCAGGTTACATCGATCTCTCCAAGCGTCGAGTTTCCCCCGAAGATGTCGTCAAGTGTGAAGAGAGGTACAACAAGAGCAAGGCGGTTCACTCCATCATGCGCCATGTTGCCGAAGCCACTCAGACTCCTCTGGAGGAGTTGTACCAGAAGATCGGATGGCCACTGAACCGGAAATACGGCCATGCTCACGATGCCTTCAAGATCTCCATCACGTAGGATCAACCAGTCCATCTACATATTTGGACCTTATGACTCATACTATCTATAGGAATCCCGACGTGTGGCAGGATGTGGAATTCCCCAGCGAAGCTGTCAAGAAGGAGTTGACACAGTACATCAGCAAGAAGCTGACTCCCTCCCCGACCAAAGTTCGTGCTGATATCGAAGTTACCTGCTTCGGCTATGACGGAATCGACGCCGTCAAGACCGCTCTTCGCACTGCCGAGGCGAACAACACTCCCGAGAACCAGATCAAGGTCAAGCTGGTCGCTCCTCCCCTGTACGTCCTGACCAGCCAGTGCTTGGATAAGAGCCTGGGTATCAAGTTGCTCGAGGAGGCTATCGAGAGGATCGATAGCGAGATCAAGAAAGCCGGGGGTGGCTGTGTCGTCAAGATGGCACCCAAGGCTGTCACCGAGCACGACGATGCTGCTCTCCAGGAGCTCATGGACAAGCGGGAGCGTGAGAACATGGAAGTCAGCGGCGACGAGAGCATGTCCGAAAGCGACGAGGGTGTTCCCGAATAAATTCTCGATGCTGCGCCTCTTTAGTCACGACTCCTTGGGCCAAGGGGCCCTTTGCAAATTACAAAACTTCCATTTTTCTTGCATACGTTGGGAATTGGGCTGGTGCCACAAGAGAGAAGACGGTTGTTTCAGCGTTGGGTCAGAGAAGGGGGGCAAGAAAAAAGTTTCTGATAGAAGGGCTTCGGTTATGACACGAATTACGAGACAGAAGACGGGTTTAATGTGCTCACGAGCGGGATAGGGCTAAGCAGCAATGCCTCAAAAAAGGGTTCAGACTGGACTTAGTTGACGCTGAGAACAGTACACCCATGGGAGGATCTGCTGCCGCACTGCTTCCTGTGCCGTGGCGATGTGTCCATATCACTCAGATTTGCGTTGATGACTGAGCTCTGGTCACAGTTCTGGGACAGCTCTATCTCTTGATTTGATGTACATAAGTTCATATCCAAGTGCCAACTGCAAGAGTACGTTCTAGACTACGAAGACTATTTCTGAAAGGCGAAAGTAGGGTCGATCTGATTGGGCTCAGCAATCATCCATAGTTTGTAGTACTAGGCTGCACGAGAGACTTGCCATAGATCGTTGAGAAAGTTGTGGATGTTTTGAAGTTCCGGGTAGATCAGTGGTGGCTGGGGATGGCGGGGACCGTAGCGCGGGAACCGAATCATGCTCGAAGTTTGATTCTCCATTGCGTTTTTCTTTCGTTCGAATGCAGGTATACTGTTCTTCGGAAATCCTGGACTATAGCATCACAGTACACAGTATTCAGTATGGGGTACTGGGATGACATCTTCAGCTCCGGAAGTCGAACTCACCATCGCCGTCTCCCAGAACGGCGGCGTTGTACGTCATCACCAACGGCTGGGCCTGGTTTCCGACCAGCAATGCGCATTTCTGAAGCTAACACGGCAAATAGTGCTTCCAACTTACGGGGCTGACCAGGCTACTTCTGTCAGTCCTGCTAAGGAGGTGACGAAGGTTGCTCTCCGGCTGAAATATCAGATCGAACAGGTCATTCCGTTCGAGATCGACGAGAGTTCTATCACCAAGCCTAACAGCCGAATCATCACCGACGATGTGATCCAGACTGCCAAGCAGGCAGGTGGTGATGATCACAGAGCTTGTGTGTTGTACTGTCTCCTTGTTTGTCTACGGTGGTTCAAGCTCCAGGCAGGGGCCGAACTCTGGGAATCTGATCTGCACCTTCGTCGCGCGCTGGCATGTGAGGTCATTGCGAAGCGCATGTAAGAAGAGCCATCTCAATCACCGGTGAAAGGCTTAATGTTAACCAAGGCTTTCAGAATTGAGTCCGAGGAGGACCAGGAATCCCTCATGATGGACGCTTTGTTAAAGAGGTACTCCATCTTCTTGGACGGAGAACCAACTACGCCAGCCAACGTTATCGAGCGAGCCGTGGATCTCCATGCTCTGAGAGTCATAGGCTCTTCGGGATACCAAAAATGTATCAAGTATCTCTGGCATGGTTGGTTCTGTCAAGAAGAGGGTAACCCGACCAATTTCGTTCCCTACCACGACAAAGACAACACAGACTTCAGGATTCATTTCCATCCTGACCGTATGAGAACGCCCCTTTATCAGAATGCATGCCAGATATTCTTCTCATTGATATATCTCATCCTGTATACCATTGTCATCAATACCGTCAACGCTACCGGAGATTTAGACGTTGTTGAAGGAATCCTCTATGTCATGACTTTGTCCTACATTTGTGATGAGCTCACCAAACTCTGGAAGGTTGGAAGGGACTACTTCGACTTTTGGAACGCATTCAACTCGACTCTTTACATCATCCTCGCGGTGTCATTCTTCCTCCGTGTCGCCGCCCTTACGCGATCGAGCTCCGTCAACGACGAACAGAGGAGAACACTCAACCAGCTGAGCTACAATTTCCTGGCCATGGCTGGTCCGATGTTTTGGATGCGTATGATGCTCTACCTTGATTCATTTAAATTCTTCGGCGCCATGTTCGTTGTGCTGAGAGTCATGATGAAGGAGAGCTTGATCTTCTTTGCCCTTCTTTTTGTCATCATTATCGGGTTCTTCCAGGCGTTTTACGGAATGGCCGAGGCAGACGGCGAACTTGCTCTTACCAGGGGTATTATACAAGGCATGGCGAACAGTGTGATGCAGAGCCCGGATTTCGGCGTATTCGAGGACCTGGCGTTCCCATTTGGTCTCGTCCTCTACTATTTGTTCAATTTCATTGTCATGATTGGTAAGTCGGTCGGCTCGCAGCACGACCGGGAAGTGTTTTGCTGACGGGGAATAGTTTTGCTCAACATCTTAATTGCACTCTATAATAGCGCTTATGAGGATATCGCCGGCAATGCTATAGACGAGTACATGGCGATCTTCGCTCTGAAGACAATGCAGTTTGTTCGGGCACCAGACGAAAATGTCTTCATTCCCCGTGGGTCCTCCTATTCTGCTGCAGACACTGCATTAACTAACGGCGAGCCTACTAGCGTTCAACCTACTCGAAATCTTCTTTCTGGTTCTCCCCTTCGAGTGGTGGATGCCGCGCGAGTACTACGCCAAGCTAAACGAGGTCATCATGGGTATCATTTACTCACCACTCTTACTCATCATCGCGACGATTGAGACCCGCGAGGCACGCCGGATCCGGTGGAATCGTCGCCAGGGAGAAGAAGATGATGATGTTGTTCAGGAGTGGGAGGGAGTTGCTGAGGAAGTTGACTTTGACGTGGACGACACCTGGAGACAGGCCGTGCGGGAGACCTCCTCAGATCCGAATGCAGAGAACTGTACTTTGGAGATCATACAGCTGCGGGAGCAGATCAAGGAACTCACAGCTGTGGTTCATGCGTTCATAGAGAAGAAGAATATGGCGGAGCGCACGAGGGAGGAATCAAGTTCCAATCAAGCTGACGTGGAGTAGGATCTGCGGCATAGGAGAGATGTATTTGGGTTGACTTTGTTTGACCCTTTGTTGGTGTCTTTGTTGATTTGATGACTATCTCACTGCGATTTATATTAGTTGACTATCTGCCTTGATGTCTGAATTGTATGCTTTTCATACCTGGCTTCATAAACATAAAACATCTCTACAAACTCTGTAATTCACGAAGAAATGAAGTTATTCTACTGTCATGTTGACCTATGTTTGTATACCCTTGAGTAGTTGGGTTGATTACGTGGCTGTCCCTGAACCATGTCCCCGCACCTCCCCCTAAATCGACGACAAGTGCTTCTCCAACCTTTTCCTCCTTAGATATCATCACTGTTAATCTACTCTTGTAGCATGCGGTGTTTTATCAACCACAGGATTGCTAAAGGGCAGCCTTGCCAATGGGGAAACTTTGCAATAAACAGCTGGATTTCATGAAACAGCATGACTGACAACTCCCCCACCGTGCTGTACGCAGGAGAACACTTGGATACTGTTGCAGGATTCCCAACACTCTACACATTCAAACCCGCAAATCGAGACAATCATCTGATTGTGTTCATACCGGGTGGCGGTCATAATGCTCGCATCTCATATGGCGGCCATCCCGGAAGTCGCAGGGAGGACTTCCTGGCACACTGGCTAAACACACTGGGCCACGGCCTACTTGCCATCTCGTACCCGCTCCAGAGCCAGGCGGACGAGATCATGGCTGCAACAGCACCAGAATTCCGTATTCGTGATTGGGGTCTGCAAGCAGCGGAGGTAACGAAAATGGTGATCGAGAGTCACCGCCTATCACCCAAGGTCGTGCTTGTCGCTTGGAGTATGGGCGGCCGGGTAGTGGTTCCGTACACGCAAGCAGCAAAGGCACGGGGGCTAACCGTCGAGCTTTTCGTGAGTCTCGCGGCTACTCCTGGACTGGATGGTTCTCGGCTCATTCCCGCTGATATCGAAAAGACGTCGGAGGGGTATGCTGCATTAGACAGGATGTCGGAGCTTTTCCTGGACCAAGTCAATGAGCAGAATCGGCTGAACTCCCGTGTCATAATTCCGGACGATGTTTATCTCCGCGGCTACTACGGGCATACGCCTGTCGGCTTGCTCGGCTGGGGCTTGAGCTATTCCCCGGATCGCGGGTTTGTTGAAGATCGATATACCTCAGCGGAAGATGCCGATGCGAACAACTTTCGCCAATGGCCTTTGATTTCTGCTCTGCACGGTGACAGCATCCTGGATGTACGGCATGTACTTGCGGACAAAGCAACTTGGGCATTTATGCAGGTGCAGCAGCTCGTGAGTACTCTTGAAGGTCGAGGCTACAGATCGCTGAGCTTTGAGCGTTGGGAGGAGGTTGTCAAACTGGTCCATTCACGGCCGGAGAATATGTGCCGGCAGATTCATGGTAATCACTTTTTCTTTCTGGGCGAACAGGGCGCTCGTGAGACAGCGACTGCCATTGTTGAACAGCTGAAAGAAGCTCGGATCTTCATGTCCACTCTTGACTCTCTGCTTCAGTCTTGAGGTCACTTGACAGCAATTTCTTTGTTGTTTTAGGACATTCCTTGAACTGCAATCGCCTCTGCTTCCTGTCAGGGACTGGCCCCTTTGAGCATGATCTACGAGGTCGAGGTCGAGGGAAATACGGAATACTTGTTCTGTTTCGGTCTAGAGTTGTTGCATCGGGGGTCTACAACTGGGTTTGCTTGCAGACAATTACGATACCTCGGCAATAGCACAGCCATGCGTGGACAGCTGTCGATCGATGCTGGTAGTCATTACGAGAGGGAGCAAAAAAGTTGCGGAGCGAAAAAGAAAGCCGAACGCGGGGGTCGAACCCGCAACCTTGAGATTAAGAGTCTCACGCTCTACCGATTGAGCTAGCCCGGCTGCTCTTGTTGGGATGCGGTCTTATTTTTGCTACACAAGGACATAATAGCCGTCCATTGTAGTCTACTCTGTGATTAATTTAGGCCAACTACTGTGAAGTAGTGCCCTTGCAGTTTGATAGTGGTAGGTAGTCTCATGTTAGGTTATTATAATATCAACCACAATGTATAATACTTGACCT